TCTACTCATTTTTCAGATGCCAGTTTAAATGTGTTATCTTCAGGGGCCTCCCTGGTGGAGCAAAGGGTAAAGTCAGAACTACCAAATTATCGCTAGCCACTGTAACAAAGTATGATCCCTGTTCTGGGAGCTGACCCACATGACACAGCAGACTTCTCCTGTCTCACCCACTGCTCAGCAGTGAATTTCAGTAGATCTGTCTGTTCTGCTCCACACTGTCTCTAGTGAACCCTTTCACCTCCTGCACCTCTGGCATATACCCTGTCTTGTGTATGCTTAAATAAAATTTTTTTTTATAAATAAATATATGTAATCTCTTCAGTGAAGTCTTCCCTGACTGATGCATCCCTCCAACTAAATAATGTGCTGCTCATTTACCAAAGTCCTCTTATTTCCTTTCCAGTTGCATTTTTTAAAAAAGATTTATTTATGCATACAGAATTGGGGTACAGGCCAAAGTTGCGGGGGTGGTAAGAAGCTTCCCCGGAGACAGAGTGGGAAGTAGATCAGGCCGACTGATGAAGTGCACTACTGAGGGGAGCAGCAGGCGGGTCAGGAGAGGTCTGCTGCGCCAGGTGGATCACCTCTAGAGGTGAGGATCGAACTCATACTGAAGTGGCTATAGCTTCCTAGTGCTGTGCTTTAACCCACTGCACCACCAGGGAGGGCTCTCCAGTTGCATTTTATTAATGATTTATCTAATGGCTTTCTCTACATTCAAGCCCTATGAGCAAAGAGAACAAAACTGCTGCATACTTCTGGCTCAATTAGAGAATACATGCCATGGCTTAAGTAGGTACCTAACTAATAAATAGTATTAATGTTAATTATTATTAATATTAACAATAAATATTTAGTTAGATACTTTGGTAGTTTTAATTTCTAACAAGGAAAACAACTTAATACAAGTTACCCAGACCCACACTTGAATTTCCTTTCTACAATGTGCTAACTGATTCTTTGGACAAGTTCTCTGACTTCTCTAAGCCTCTAATCTCGCATATGTAAAATAGAAATAAAGTAATTGTAATAATATGCAAAACAGTATATGCAATGAACATTAGATATGTATAGGACCCAGTTGCTTATATTTATGATACAAATGACTTGGAAATAATTTCTAAAAATACAAACTGCATTTTATTCCTTCTCCACTCCATCTTTAGCATAGGCTGATTCTAATTTTATTTCGTTCTGTATTCTAAAATTCATTTCTGCATCTACAAAGTACTAATGTTTCATTAGTCTTCCTATAGATGGTGAATTTATTTTTGTTTAAATAATATAATACACAGGACTATGATGGTGGCACATGGGTTATTTGGTGATGGGAAACCCGCGGGGACTACAATCGAGATGGAAAAAAAAATTTGTGCAAAATGATGTGAAAATAAACTTTTGTAATAATAAATAAATAAATAAATAAATAATAGTTTATTTTTACATCATTTTGTGCATTTTTCCATCTCAGTTGTAATCAACCTAGATGGTGAATTTTAACAGGGGAGTCTCTACAATTTTATTGACACTTATAACACCAACATATATTCTAGTGCATACATCTCACTATGTAGGGAAAATTAAATAGGAGCAGTTTTGCTGTTCCTCGTCAATAGGCAGTATCTAGGACTCTTCCAACTGCAACAGGAGCCAAATCAGATGAGGGGCATTAATTAAACATTTACTGAATGCAAACAAAGTAATACATGATATTGGAAGGAAGAAATATCTTTTTCATATCTTTGCAGAAAGATAGTAAAAATAGTTACTGCTCTCAATAAATTCACTATCCATAGGAAGATTGATGTATATGATTAAATAAAAAATGCTGTATAGGAGTACTATAATACACATGTCCAAAATACTAATGGAACACAGAAGAACCAACTTTGCTTTCAGTGCAAGGGAAGGTTTTTAAGAGGAGATGATATCAGAATCAGATACTGAATGAAAAACAGCAGTTTCTCTGTTGAAGAGAAAGAATGGCCCAGGCAGAAGAAAATTTTGTACAGAAGATTTGATATTTCTAGTATATTGTTCTAGAGGAGGAAGTAGGGGTGGCATGGTGCCTAGCATGGCAGTAGATGAGACAAGTAAAGGAAGCATATTTGAAGTACGCGTGCCACGCTAATAAACCTTATCCTAAGAACAACGGAGACTATTAAAGGCGTACCTATGTATATATGTACTGATGTAATTTATATTGAGAAGACTGTTGGAGGAAAAATTTGGAGGCTAACGACCAGTTTTCAAATATTGTTGTTTGTAACTCAGTGTAATGAGTTTACTGGGTAACTTCTGAAATTTTGTTTAAAATTCAAATGGATAAGATAAGATCAGATTATATACAGGGTAAGGATAAGTTTTATAAAACTTGTATATCAGATACATATATGTATCCTAGGTCATAAAGTAAAAGGTATTTACCAAGTTTGAGTTGGTCACTGGTGACCAACCAGATGAAGGAGTGAAGGAAGAGTCAAGGAGGACTACCAGGTTTCTGCTGTGGGCACCTAAATGGATCATAAAGTCACTGCCCAAAACAGGGAACAGGCAAGACAGCTGCTTTTATCAAGTCCACAGGAGAGCAACTTCTCTCAGCATTTTTTCAGAGGTTACAGGCAACACTAATTATTCAACAAAAACAAAGGACATACAGTCACTGCAGATTCAAGTCCACATTAATATACAATTGATAAGGGCCCCTTCGGCAATGGAGGGACTCCAGACCTAAATCCCAAAACACAGAAAAACTACAACTAGAGAAAGCTGACAGAGTGAGAGAAACAGCACCTCTCCAGAGAACTAACAGGATATAAGAAATCTTGACCCTGTTCTAAGAGTCAACAGAGAAACATCACCCTAGGGAACACAGGTTAATAGATACTGTCAAGGTAGACAGACCATTGTCAAGGTATTCTGCTTATTAGGTTTTGGTTGTTTGGGGAGTGGAAGGAGTCTTTCTACGTCTATGACTTCTAACTTTTCACCACCTCTTCCTCAAAGTACCACCTATAGAAGGTATTTCAACTCCCTATATGTCTAAAAGTCCAGTGAGTTTGTAACAATGTACTCTACCACCCCTACTACCACCAAATATGAATTTAGTCACACCTCCTTGCATCCACAGTATCTCCCTGTACTGTGGACACAGCACTTCATTCTTTGTCATCCACCATAGGCAACTGTACTTTACATCTGTTTTCCACTAAGTTTTCTGAACATGTAAACCATGTCTTACCTTTCTTTCCAGTGCCCCACAGACCTTAACACAAACTAAGTCTATAAGAGCTTGCTGATTCAAACTGAAAAGCTACCAATTTATTTTTGGCAGATCATGAAAACTAAGGGAAGAAAGATGAAGAGGAGGACAAGTATAGATTTAAAATAGACAACCTCCCTCCCCTTACTTAACTGGTGGTGGTACTCCCCATTCCTCTGAGAAATTAAACCAACCTCAGCAAGGAAGACTCAGCAGACATATTTGGAATGGTGGCTAACTTGAAAGAACAAGTAGCTTCAAGGTTCTCCCAGCTGCTATTAGTCAGGTATTGACCTTGGGATGTGGTCACAAGGATTATATATTTTATTTTGCCATCCACTCCCACTAACACTCTATACCTCTAGCTATATGGGCAATAAAGAGTCTTTCATACACGTTCTGAATATTATCTTTGAGCTCCTCTGGGAATGTGTAGCCACCTCTCAACCCTCCCATCTTTCCAGTGAGTAATTCTCATGTGCTACCTCTGAAGTCCTCACCTCTTGAAAGTCATTTTCTTCTCAATATATCCAGTTCCTCACCATGAATCTTTCCCTACCCTTCACCATCCAAACAGAAAGAAGTTTGTCTTCTAAGCTGCCTGACTGAAAGACACGGCACATTCAAAGAACAGGTAGAACAAGCAAATATTAATACTTTTGATAATTGTAGCTGCCTTGGTAATCCCATTAATCCTACTTACTCATACTGATTATAGTTCTTCACATCCCAATTTATAATTGACCACTTTATGTATCTTATCTCCTTTACACTGTGAGCTTCTTAAAAACTACCCTTAGTTCCCAGAAAACCTCCTAGAACATACTATGCATTCCATAAGCTAGCAGTTTAGAAGAATAACTTAAAATAAGCTGCCACTTTAAGCCTCTTAGTCAATCTCAGTGATTATGTGAGTTCAGAAGAAGAAATATTTCAGAGGTGATCAAAACCAAAAAGTCTTTATATAGTAGTCAGTACTGTGATGCAAAGCTCAACTGAAGGCAGTCTCAAACAAGGATCCTTTTGACAGGGCAACCATTCCCCACGTTCCTCAGATACTCACTATGGTCAAAGCAGTAAACTTAGTTCCCCAGAATTTGCTTTCCCAAGATCTGACAGTTCAATAAATACACTCCCCAGCCCCCACGTCAACGTCTCTCCTATATCCTTCTGACCTTTAATACTGTGTAACATTAGATGAAAAACTGATTTTTTTTGGCTACTTATTTTGCAGCTGAAGAAAAAATATACTGTTTAAGGTGTTAAATATTTTTACATGCAACAAATCTGGCATGAATCTAACCTGTATGAACATTTTAGAGGTACAGGCGTAAATGTCAGTACTATAATTTGTTATAGGTTTCTGATGACCAGCAAAGAAAATGACCACGGATTCTCACAATTCAAACCACTTTTACGTAAATGTGAACTTTCCTAAAACAGCCAGGGGAGAGAACTTTCCAGCCAACCTCATACAGTTTCTTAGAGATACTGATAGCATTATTCATTGGGTTAGGTGTTCTTTGAGAAAATTCTACAAATATTAGTTTCTTTCTGGAATTATGCTTTGACCTTTAATAAAAATGTTTCAAGACACCAGCTATTAAAATGAAAGGAACACATTTTAATGCCTGAACAACTTCTATTTCACATATCAGTCCTGCTGAAGCTATACCTTACAAGCCAGCAGTGTTTAAAAGGAAAAAAAACGATGACTTAACTTAAATTGCTTACTTACCAGACATGAAGTAGAGTTATAAGAAACCACGAATTAAATGTATCTGGCATCTGACACCCTAGACAATAACAGTAAAATAAAAATATGTGAGTATTGGAGAAGGAATATTGACTATATCTTAAATATTAGTAGAAATTTGTTCAATTAATTTTTTGACAGGTATAAAGCTCTGTGCTTACACTATCAGACTGGATCAGTGAAAGAGCCATAGGGTAACACTGTGGGTTCAGAAAGTACTGAATGCAGTCAGACAACCAGCCTTCCATTTCTAGTCCTGTGATCAATTTGCTTTATAGGCTTAGGCAAATCATTTCACCTCTCTGAGTCTCAGTTTTGTCACTTTGTAACGTAGCCTAGATGATCTCCAGGGTTTCTTCCAACTTTTATGTGATTCTATTTTACTTTCCCTTTCCGGTCTCAAATTCTTCTGCAATACTAGGTAAACACCACCTTTCCTACCCCACAAGATTTTTTTTTTTTTAATCTAAACCCTTCTGGTATCTTTTTCCTGTTTTCTTTCTTTAAAACGACAGTGTCCTATGAACATAGATGTGCTAAATAATTCACCCAAAATAAATGATCAGGAGAAAAGAAGTGGGGCTCTAGGGAGCTGTAGCTAAGTAAAGCAGACTATATCTAACAGAAGGCCATTTATCACCCCCAGAAATGACAAAACTGGGCAGGGTATCTCTTCATTTTAAGACACCCAAAATTATGTCCAAACCTCCTAATTCTCCTTTCTCTAAGAAATGCCTTTTGCTGGATAAGGGGCATTGAAGGTACCCTCCTTATTACATGAGAGGTAGAAAAGCTGGTTAAGAGGATTAAAAAAGAGAGAATCAGTGAGAATTTTGGGCCCTTAAGGTATAATCTGTCCTTTAGAACAATGACTCAAGAAAGGAATAGTCACTTACATCCTTCAGCAATCAATGAAGTACCCAACATACTAAATGATAATAAACAGAGGCCACCAGGTGAGAAAACACAGGGCAGGACCTCCTAAAGGTATGTTAGAGAGATCAATAATAATAAGGTGCTATAATTCACTGTGGGCTTGCAAAGTGCCAGACATCATCATTAGTGCTTTATAGGTACCTATTCAGCTCAATGAATCCTCCCACCAATCCTATGAGGTGGGTATTGATATTATCACCATTGGTGCTAAGAAAACTATCTCTCAGGTCGAGATAATTAACCAAGTTCACACAGCTATGGAAAGAGATACCTAGAATCAATTCAGATCTGCTTGATTCCAGACTCCGTGTTCTTAATCATTATTCTAAATGACCCTCTAATATTAATATTAGACACCAACCTTCACTAAGGGTCCATATTTCATAACAGGCCTATTACTAGTCATGTCAATATATTATCTAGTTTAATCCTCACTTTAACCCTGAAGAGAGCCATTATAACAATCTACATTTTATAGATTATAATCTACATTTTCGAGATTAGGCAATGTGCTCAAAAGACTAAGTTGCTTGTAGGTAGTCACAATATTAACAAGTTAGTGGCAGGCAGGGGTTGAAGTCCAGGTCTGTCAAAAAGTGACACCAAAATAATCTGGTAAGCTTACTGGGAGGTACCCAGCAGCTGTCAAATGGACTTCCTCTTGGAGCCGAGCAAGAGGGAGGTGAAAGCTCCTGGCTAGCCATGCAGCTATTAAGACACATGCCATCTGAGAATGGGCCAACCACCCTCCACCTAGAACAAGAATAGCCATGAGAAACTCTCAAGCCCGGATCTGAAGTTGGGTCTTTTTTGGATGCTAGAACAAAACATTAAAAAGAAAAGTTTTCTTGGAAGTCTGTCTTTCAATCTGGAAAATGAAATTTGGCTGCTTCTAAAGGACAATCTGTTCAATTGCTACCTCTACATCAAAGCTTCTCAGCAGCCTCCAGGAGCCTTTCCAATTTTCTCAGCGAGGGAATCAGTTCTTGGGCTGGAAAGCATAGACAAGCAGGCCAGCAGCTGGACCTGGGTCACAATTTTCCCTTCTGGGGGTCGGCTGAGGGCTGAGGATGGGAAAAGAACTGGTATATGACTGACTCCCTGTTTCCACTAGGGTAAGAAGGGAAACCCTAAAAAAAGAAGATCACTTAATGTTTGACAGTAAATAACAAAAAAGCACAGCAGAACTGTTTAGCTCAATGAAATGTGTTTAAACACTTCAAAGTTAAAGCCGGGTATGGTCTTTTGCCACAATCACACTCTTGCTCTAATATATACTGAGTATTATATTTTCTGAAGCGAGGTACGTTTTCCCCTGACACCAAGTTGGGTAAATTAAACAATCCCTGTGAATGGGGAGGCAGTGTTCACATAGATGTTTATTTAAAGCAGGCTCTAAGACTAGACAACCTAATTCAAAACCTTAACTTGACTTCTCATTCTTTATAAGTATCTTAAAGTTACTTAGTTTCTAGGTGTCTGTTTTTAACTCTATAAAAATGGGAGAATAGGGCCCTCCCTGGTGAAGTTAAGCCTCATCACTATCAAGCTATCAACAGCCACTGCAGCACAAGTTCGATCCCTGCCAGGGAGCTGACTCACATGGCACAGCAGACCTCTCTTCTCCCCTACTGCTCCCCCCAGCAGTGTATTTCAGTCAATCTACCTATTCTGCTCCCCACTTTGTCTCTGGTGAATCCTCTCACCCCCTTCTCCCTCAGCAAGCTGACCTATAAGCCAGCTCTTACATGTATAAATAAATGAAATAAATCTTTTAAAAAATAAATACAAATAGGAGAATAGAGAACTTTACACAGAGTTTTTTGAAGGTTAAACAAGACTTTTAAGACATTTAGCAAAATAATTAGTATTTCATAGATACACATAAATTTTTACTTTTATTGTTTTGTCTTTCAATAAATTGTTTAAACCTTGGGTTTGAATTACCTTTGAAAAAATTTACTAATTATTTAAGTCTGTTTCAATAAAATGATAAACCTCACTCACTGACTTAGAACTTACTAAGGAGTCTCCTCTTAAGTCTCTTAGGAGCTAAAGACAAAGTATATGCAGACAACTGCATACTCACAGAGGGGACAATCATCTGTGGTACAAATGACTTCATCAGAACATCTAAGAAACAAGTGAGATATCTGACCAGTCAGAATCCATAATATATACCACATCTTCTTGAGCCAATCATATAATTTGGGCATCTGAGCTGTTTCCAGGTTTTTCTTATAGTAAATAGTGCTGCGATAAAGACAGAGGTATGCAAGTGTCTTCTGAATTAATGTTCTGTGTCCTCTGTGTTGACCCCTAGGAGTGGAATTGCTGGGTCTTATGGTAGCTCCATTTTTAGTAGACTGAGGAATCTCCAAACAGCTTTCCATAGTGGCTGTACCAGTCTGCACTCCCACCAGCAATGTAGGAGAGTTCCTTTTTCATCACATCCTCAACAATACTTGTTAGTTTTTTAATGTATGCCATTTTCACTGGTATGAGGTGGTCTCTCATACCAGTGGTTTTGATGTGCATTTCCCTGATTATAAGGGATGTGGGACATAAGCTTGCTGGCCATTTGCAACTCTTTGGAGAAATGTCTTTTAAGTTCTCCTGCCCATTTCTTGACTGGATTACTTTTTTTTTTTTTTAATTCCTGTGAGTTTTTGTATATCTTTGTAATCAGTCCCTTACCCATTTTATGGAGTGCAAAGATTTTTTTCCCATTCAGTAGCATGTCTCTTTGTCTTGGCTAATGTCTCTTTTGCTTTGCAGTTTTTCAGTTTTTTCAGTTGGATGTAGTCCTATGTTACACTCATTCTTATACAATCCTCATGAAATATCATTTATCTCACTTTTGATAGGGAAGGATGACACTGGCCAGCTACCTGAGTACCTCTACTCTTATCTGTCTGGCCTATTCTTTAGAATATAAGAGCTAGGAAAGTCCATGTCATTATTTTATAGGTATTCTTCATCTACCTCCAAATAGCAGCACTTTTCAGATTAACTCAACTTTTTATTAACTAAGTACAATTTGAAACCACTTTAGTTTAATCTACTCACAAGTGACAAAGTTGAACCACAATGAAACACAGTAAAATGAAGATTATAGTTCTAACAGGCAGTCCTCAAACTGAGCCTTAGAAAACTTGAAGTAAAAGCAGTATCACTGAAAATTTTAGTACTTCCCTAGGAAACTACTTTCAAAGGGCAAACTTAAAGCAAAGCTCACTGAGATGTATATGCTCTAATATGAATGAACAACTCGCACAGAAGGAGCTGACATTTAAATAGAAAATAAAACAAAAATATTAAGATGCAGTTACATTCATGTTATACTGGGAAATTCCTGGGTTTTAAGGCAGACAACATAGGTTCCAGGCTTAGCTAAATAACTTTGATAAGTCATTAGCCTCTTCTTAAGGTTCAACTGTTCTTGAAACAAAACAAAAATGAAAATATCCACCAAAATTTTATAACTCCGAAAAGAAACAGTCAAACATGTAAATGTGAACTATTATTATATACTGTTAATAATCTTTAGAAATTTTTATTTTATAAGTAGTTTGCACCAGCTTATATTTGAAACATGATATATTAACTTACATATGCAATAACGGCCTCACTATTCACTACTATAATATTAATTCAAGAACCTCCCATAATAAGGATTAGCTAGGGCAAAATTAGCTAGTAAAATATTTCAAAATAATTATAATAAACTTATGAGCTATTTACTAAATCAAATATAAAAGTTGTTAAGGATAAGGTTTTTTTTAAAAAAGATTTATTTATTTATGCATACAGAAATGGGGTACAGGCCAGAGATGCAGGGGCGGTGAGAGGCTTCACCAGAGACAGTGTTTGGAGCAGAACAGGCAGATCAACAAAGTACACCGCTGAGGGGAACAGTGGGCAAGACAGGAAAGGTCTGCTGTGCCATGAGGGACACATGGGTGGGGATAGAACTCATGCTAAAGCAGTTCTCAGTGCTTTAACCTGTTGCTCCACCAGGGAGGGCCCCAGGATAAGGTTTTAAAAAGACCTTATTAAAAAAGACTTAACCACATGGAGTTAAGAAGCCACTGAAGAAAAATCCAGCTTTGAATATAGTTTTTTCATCAGGTAAAGAAAAAATATTTCCTCCTTCTAATACCTAAATACCTTCTAATACATCTAATTCCTAAAATTAGAAGTTGGAAAAAATTACAGGAAACAGGAAAGCTTCCTTGGTAATGAATAAATCAGAAGTGGAAGACAGATATTAAAGTAGGACTGCCACTCAGTACATTATACACTTCCAATATCAATCTGCTGAAGTGGTAAAATAAACAAAACTTATATATATATTTTTTTGCTTTTTAAAAAATCCAAAATTGTTATTAAATAATCCAAAACTGTCTAGTTTTCTTCATTGTTTTAACATAATTATATGTAAATACTGTCTTTGATAACTATCCAGCAAATATAATCAAGTATCATTGGTTTAAGGATAATAGCTATTACCATAGAAGGACACAGTACACATTTCCTTCCAAAATCTGTGGAACCAGAAATGACTTACACCTTGATTTAATTAATTTTGTTTATAACAGTATCAAAACAAATATTACATTGGCACAGTCACCATGCTAGTGGTAGTCTCAACTTGTAAAAACCCTTTTAGAAAGCAATTTATCAATAGGGTAGAAATGATAAGATTATATGTGCCTTTTGAATCAACAGCCCTTCAACAAAAAGAAGAAAATCATGAAGCATATTCCAGGATTATCTAAAATAATAAAAACTAGAAACTAAAAAGAATGATGGGCAACCCAAACTGCTAAGTAAAATATACAGATTGTAAAACAGGGTATTTTTACTGAGTACTCTCATGTAAAATGATACATACTTGGACAAGAGGGATGATAATGAAAGAGTACTAGACAAATTCTTAGTTCTTTCAAACTTGTTAAAATGTCTTCTAAACTGTCTCACTATTCTACTAAGACAATCATAAAAATGCAAAGTAGATTCATTTTCCTTTTTCAGAACTATCGGAAATATTCACTTACTTAGAAAGAATTCCTCGAAGTCAGTTTTCTCCACACAGCTAGTATACATGCGCAGGGCAGCAATCTTAATCTTCTAGACAAAGAGAACAAAACCACTCAAGACATGACCAACTGTGTATTCTAAAGTCATAAGATGTAGGTCACAAATCTTATATTTTGTCAATTAGATGTAAGGATCCAAATCTTTCTAGGTAAATTCAAAAACTAAATCAACATAGATATTTCTTTAAATTAGACATTCATACAGACCTCATGCAATTTTTCATATTTTAGGATTTTGGCATGAAATTTCAAAGAGATTTCTCCAAATTTAAATAAATTTCTCCTTCAATTGACATTTGAGCCTGAAAACCAAGTTTATCATTATCAACATTAACGCTTCATAATCTGAAGCTCTTTATATTAAATAACTATCAATACTTTTGACCAAAATCAGAAAAAAAAACAAGAAAAAAATTCAATCATTTGAACTTTGTCAAGGCACTACTATCTATTTGGTAGTCTTTCATTCCATTTGGGAGAGGGGTCATTTTTTTGGTTTGTTTTCCCTAGCTATATATTTTGCTAATTAACAGAAGGCTATGCTTATAAAAAGGATTTCTAATGAATGTAAAATATAATAGAACAATCAAACTTATCTTACAGAGCACTAAGAATTATCTTTAATTTATTCACTTTGCTATATTAAGATTTGTATATATTACTAATATATACATAATGTTTAAAAAAAATAAACAAGGAAAAATAAGTTCTTTCAAAAGTTGAATTTCAGACTAAAGAATGACTCAGTGCTAAGAGAACAAATAATTCTAATTATTTTCTCCTAAGGATACAATGGAAAAATTAGTACAACAAAAAGCTTTTAAAAAGCTTATTTTTTTCTTAAAATGACAGATTTAAGTATGAACAGCATAAGATAATACAAGCTCAAAAGCAAAGGCTACCAAAAAATATATAAACTGATAATGACACAAATGAAGAAAAAGGAAAATCAATGTAGAATTTTAGTTCAGCTATATTATTAAGGTGCAACGTCATGAACATCTAATACTACATGTACATCTAATAATACATAATGTTCATATTTCTCTATAAGACCCACTAAAGTCAAAATAATAGTGTCTCTGATGAGCAGGGATAACTATAGTAAATTAAGAAGGACTAATGTCTCTGATTATATTTAAGAAATTTTGTTTGCTAGTTTATTTTTTCCCCAAAGATTTATTTCTTTATGCTTATATAAACAGGGGTACAAGTCTGTGGTACAGGGGTGAGAAGATTCACCAGAGACAGAGTAGAGAGCAGAACAGGCAGACTGACTGAAATACACTGCTGAGGGGAGCAGCAGATGGGTCAGGAGAGGTCTGCTGCACCATTTGCACCATGTGGCCTGGAATTAACGTCATGCCATAGTGGCTATGGATAGCTTCATAGTGCTGTGCTTTAATTATGAGCCACATCAAGGAGGGCCCTTGATTGCTAATTATGTGTCAAGGCTTTTAATTTAACACTTACATGAGGGAGGGGGGAGGGGAAGAGGAGGGAACAGAAAAGAACATGTAACAAATAAGATACTGTTACATGGAAGTACATTAGTTTAGAAGCCCACATTTAAACAAAAACCCATGCAGAGCCACTGAAAAGAAGAAAAAATAAAACTTAAAGCAAGCAAAAAGAAGGGTAATAAAAAGGCAAGAACAGATACCAATGAAATTGAAAACAGAAAACCAAGGGATTCAAAGGTGGTTATTTGAAATATATTTTTTAATTTTGATTAAAATGTACTTGAACTTATGAAGGAAAAAAAACAGATACAAATTATCAAGTATCAAGAAAGTTACATATAACTATGTAACTAAGGGAATATTATGAACAATGCTAGGCCAATACATGTGAATAAACAAACAGCAAGAATAGTCCTGTATCTATTAAATTGAATTTGGAGTTAAAAACCTCTTCACAAAAAAAAAAAAAAAAAAAAAAAAACCTCTCAGGTTTAATAGTAGTGATACAAACATCTAAAGAAATGATACAAAGCAGCTCACCTAGAAAACAAAAGGAAAGAACACTTCCCAGATCACTCTATGAGATCATATTACCCTAACAGCAAAACCAGCCATTTGAAATAAATAAAAAGTATAGAACCATAACCTTCATGAAAGAGACACAAAAAACCTTAACAAAATACTAAGAAATCAAACCCACCAACTTTTGAAAAGGATAATATATCACGATTAAGTGAGATTTATGCAAGGAATGCAAAATTGATTCAACAGTGAGTGGCAAATCAAATTAGTGTATCAGCAAGTTAAAGAAAATGTTTAGGGCCCTCCCTGGTGGCACAACAGGTTAAAGCACGCCACTATGAAGCTAGTTGCAGCCACTTCAGCATAAGTTTGAACCCCGGTCACAGAGGTGACCCACATGTTGTAGCAGACATCTACTGTCTCCCCATTGCTCCTCAGCAGTGTACTTTGACAGTCTGCCTCTTCTACACCCCACTCTGTCTCCGGTTTCACTGCCCCTCCACCTCTGGCCTGTACCCCAGTTCTGTATGCATAAATAAACAAATCTTTAAAGAAAAATGAATGAATGAATGAAGCTGTCGAAAATCCCTGCTTTCTGGGCCCTCCCTGGTGGTGCAGTGGGTTAAAACACAGCAGTAAGAAGCTAAAGGCACTTCCACATGCGTTGGATCCCCACGTGCCCCAAAGGTGATCCACATGGTACAGCAGATCTCTCCTTACCCGCCCGCTGCTCCCCTCAGCAGTGTACTCCATCATCTGCCTGTTCTGCTCCCCACTCTGTCTCTGGTGAATCCTCTCACCACCCCTGTACCTCTGGCCTGTACCCCAGTTCTGTATGCACAAATAAATAAATATTTTTTTTAAAAAATCCTTGTTTTCACATCACTCGTAATAAGAGAGATGCAAATTAAAACCACAATGAGATACCACCTCACCCCAGTGAGAATGACACATCTTCAAACAACTAGCAACAACAAGTTGGCGAGGATTTGAAGAAAAAGGAACTCTCCTGCCCTGCTGGTGGGAATGCAAACTAGTACAACCACTATGGAAAACTGTTTGGAGGTTCCTCAAACCGCTTAACATGGAGCTTCCCTGTGACCCAGCAATCCCACTACTAGGTATCTACCCAGAAGACACAAAAACACTGATTCAAAAAGATACCTGCACCCCCATGTTTACTGCTGCTTTATTTACAATTGGAAGAACATGGATGCAGCCCAAATGCCCAAAAGTAGATGACTGGATTAAAAAGATGTGGTACAGGGCCCTCCCTGGTGGCGCAGAGGGTTAGAGCACAGCACAAAGAAGCTTAAGCCACTCCCGCATGAGTTCGATTCCCGCCTGCCCCGGAGGTGACCACATGGCGCAGCAGACCTCTCCTGACCCGCCCGCTGCTCCCCTCAGTCCCCTCTCTGTCTCTGGTGAATCCTTTCACCCTCTGCATCTCTGCCTGTACCCCAGTTCTGTAAGAATAAATAAATCTTTAAAAAAAAATTAAAAAAAAAAAGATGTGGTACATATATACACAATGGAATATTACTCAGCAACCAAAAAAAAAAGAAACACATGTCTTTTGCAGCAACTTGGATGGAGCTGGAAAAGATCATGCTTAGTGAAATAAGCCAAAAAGAAAAAGAAAAATACTGGATAGTTTAGCTCATAGCAGGAGTATAATGGGCCAAGCGAGAAAATAATAAGAGTAATGAACAGCCATATACCAGAAACATTTTGTGGGGGCAGAGTGGGGAATGGGATCAAAAACGCGGGGGCGGGGGGTGGAGGGAGAGAAGTGCACTGAACTACAGCGATGGCATATGGGTGACTTGGTGATGGGAAACCCACAGGGATTACAATTAAGATGAAAAGAATGTACAAAATGATGTAAAAATAAACTATTATAAAAAAAATAAAAATAACATAAGTACTCCTCACAACATACACACACACACAAAATCAAATACCTAGAGATTAACTAAGGATTATGAGGACTTATAAAATGAAAACAAACCAAAAAATAAATCAATAAAAATAAAATAAAATATTATATAATAAAAAAAATCCTTGCTTTCATGAAGCTTATAGCCTGGTCAACTACTGACACATTTATAATTAAGTAAAACTAAGTAATAGCCACCTTGATTTTTTGTTGTTGTTGTTAAGATTTATTTATTTATTTGTACAGAGCTGGGGTACAGGCCAGAGATGCGGAGGGTGAGAGGGTTCACCAGAGACAGAGTGGGGAGAAGAACAGGCAGGTCGGTGAAGTATACTGAGCAGTGGGCGGGTCAGGAGAGGTTTGACATACCATGTGGATCTCCTCCAGGGCAGGCAGGAATAGAACTCATGCGGAAGTGGCTTAAGCTTCTTAGTGCTGTACTTTAACCCACTGCGCCACCAGGAAGGGCCTACCTTGATTTTTTTAACTCTACATTTTCTCAGATCCTTATAGAATCTTCTAGGTTTGCAATTAACTACCCCACCTGAGAAAAGGCAGACCTGCGTACAAAATCCAAATCTTTCCTTAAGAGGTCTCCTCCACAATACATTCATGAAGAAAGTATTCATTATAAATAATAAAAACCTCACCAGATTGGCCAGTGTATTTATACACTGCTCATACTGTGGCAATCAGGAGCATTTTATAGTTCCTCACTTTTCCTGCAGCAAAGCCAAACATTTATATTTGGGTGAGCCATTTTCCTGGACAAATCTCTAAAGCAAGTCCCTTAAGACCATCACTCAGGGGTTGGAAATAATGACTTGGGGAAAAAACTTAAGATGTGTTAACATAAGTTAAGGTGGTAGGTGGGACTAAATTTCCACCCAGTCAATATAAATTGTTCTGGTTCTCAGATAACTATGTATTTATTTCATCATAGCTTTAGAAGACTTCATCATTCTACCTTGAATAAAACAGAAACACTCAACTTTGGGAAATAAAAATCAGTTCTCCCACCACCCTACAAAATGAAAAACAAATCTAGTTCAAGGCTTGCACTAGCAGCTGTGTGAGTGTTGGAAGGAGGTTTGAAGCAATTTGAACCTTCTATTCTATACTGCAATTCCTTTTACAACATTCTTGATTCACAGTCAACCAGCTGGGCTCCTGTTCAAACAAGTTCAATGACCCTCTGAGGCTACCTATCTAGGGAAGGATAATCCATGTTGCTAGATTTTTTAAAACTGAATTCGAATCTGTTTCATATAACATTCATTAAATGTCACCTGCTCATAGTATATCTCAAATTAAATCTCTTCAAATGTTTTACATTTGCCCCTCAAATACCTAAGAACAACTACCATGTCGTCGCTTTCCCAGTCTAATCATCTCTATTTCCTTTAATCATTCTTCATCCAAAATAGCTCTAAAGCCTTCCTGATGCTGCTGCCCACATCTGAATACATTCTAGTTTGCCAGTGTCCTTCAGAACAGTAATAATTTTTTAAATTTACTACCAATCTAGAAAATGCCTATTCAGTGTCAGGTGGCTGACTTCAGTAAATGTTGTCCTTACCTTAACTGAAATTGCTACATAAAGATAATGAAAAAGTATTATTAGTTTAGGATAGTCAAAAAGAAAAGAAAAGCTACATTTAAATTGCTAAACATGAATCGAGAAGAAAAATGGAACTACACTAGAAATTGTGGTGGGGAAAGACGCCTGATCTTGCTTATGTGAACAAATAGGCATTTTACTCCCCAATCAAAGATACGTAAAAATACAAAATTCAATGAATCTTGCCAGTGCAACTCAATACAAGGGTCTAGTCATAAGATTTCTGAGTCAACATTTGCTGAAAAAGGGCTCATGATATTTAAAATGGAAAATTACACTGTATTTCCCTACCTAAATTATACTAGAATGTCATACTTTGATGCTTTGATGTCACAAATTCTAAAATGAAGGTTATAGAAAGTAGACACTACCACATCACAGAAGTTTTTAAAAAAGTAAATACTAGGGACTTAGTTGAGATCACAAGGGAACCAGGAAAAATTAGAGGTTAACTTAAGTTAAAACAGTGGAGAAACTTTCCTGATGACTTAGTAATCCTCCAAATGGTAGCCAACTTTCCTTCCTGAATCATAACAAAACAGACTAGACAAAGCGAATGGTAGCAAAAATGGAACCCATTGTGAAGAAAAAAATTTTTTTTTCCTTCTTTCTGTTCTTCTTTCAAATTTTTTTAACTTTTTCTTATAATTAATTTCTAATTTACAAAAAACCACTTATTTTAAGTTTTAAAATCCAAATGCCATAACTGCAACTTTTAAGAGAGGAAAAGATTCTGATTAACAACATAACCAAATACCAATGGGTGTCAATTGCCAAAGAATTAAGATCTAAAGATTATTTTGCATATAAATGCTGAATCACTTGTAAATAGAAACTAATATAAAAACATATGACAATTATACTTCAATTAAAAAATGTCAAAAAATTGGGCCCTCCCTGGTGGCGCAGCGGGTTAAAGCACTGCACTGAGAAGCTAAAGCCTCTTCCGCATGAGTTCAATCCCGGCCTGCCCCGGAGGTGCCCACATGGCCCGGCAGACCTCTCCTGACCCGCCCGCTGCTCCCCTCAGCAGTGTACTTCGTAGATCTGCCTGTTCTGCTCCCCACTCTGTCTCTGATGAAGGCTCTCACTGCCCCTGAGCCTCTGGCCTGTACCCCAGTTCTGTAGGTATAAATAAAATAAAAAATTTTTTTTAAAAAAGTCAAAAAAATCACTGAATCTAAAACTGGTGGAGAAGCAATTGCTAATTATTGCAGCAGGAAAATGCTGGTTTAAAATATAAATAAATATTAAAAGTACAAAGATTCTTGCTATTATTCTTATTTGAGACGAGATTAACTTATAAAAAAGGGCAGATCTTTGCAAGGAATTTAAAAAAGATATACTATCTTCTCACAAAAAAAGGTAATGTGAAAATGATAACTTTAATGAGTACAGTATTTGATAATTAAGAAGGAACTGCATAACATTAGGATCTTAAGAATACCATTATTGTATAGTATGCATAGTACCTTCAGTACTTTTCAAAGTCACTTATAAACAAAATGCTTGTAGAATCATTGCTCATTTTTTTGGGATGTATTAAAAAGCAATTATAAGAAGTCTATATTTGCTGCAATGAAAAGTATTAGAAAGAGACAAATATTTTAAGAAACTAAAAGTAGAAGCCCACAAAAATTGAAAATTTTGAAAAATTGAATCTAATTTGTTAAATTGGTCTAAATGGCATTATATGGTCATTTTGGACAAAGCTGTATCTTCTAGAAAGTTCTCTCTACTGCTATGTATTGGCTTGTTTTGTTTAACATATAACTTCTGATTGATTAGGCTCATTCCACATTCTAGAAACCTTGAAAAGCATTAAAAGGCATTACTATAAAAGCCCAGAAGCAATATGCAAGATTCATTAATAGCTAGCAAATACCCTTCCATAATAAGAATGACCACAAATGACAAGGTTAGCTAACTAATTTAAAAATGCTTATAAGTAAAAAACTTTTTTCAAAGTCACTACAATGACCTAATGAAAAACCTTTATGAATAGTCATCAGAAATACCATTTCCTAAAGAAAACTGCCCCATCTAAACATTAGGTAACTCTAATACTTTAGAATTCATCTATAAGGCATATCATGTAACAAGAGCTTAACTGGCTTGCCTGCCACTGAGATACTACTAAGGAATCAGGCTGAGGGAGTAGAGGGATTTTTTCAGATTTAGAATGGGCTCAGGAGGAATGACAATACATTTTGAAATTCTCAAAATAACACATAAAACTTCAAAAAGCAGGGAAGTGCGCTGGACTATGATGATGGCACATGGGTGATCTGGTGATGGAAAGCTCACGAGGATTACAATTGAGATGGAAAAAGGCACAAAATGATGTAAAAATAAACATTATTGGGAAAAAAAACTTTAAAAAGCATAGTAGGCATTTTTAAAAATCTATGAAAAGTGGAAACCCACAGAGAAAAAGAAAAGAACTTAAAAGATCTTACCCATTTACTGTATTTCAAAGGTCCTGTAAACCCCATGGCTTCTATTATCTTTGTGAAGGCACCAACCTTTTCCTCAGCAAGCTGTGGGGAATCCTTGGTAGTAGAAAGCTATTTAATCATAAAGAGAATGAAATTAGTTGCAAAAACTTTTTCAAAAAAGAATGTACTTTGTTTCTCATTAGGTCTAAGGTCATTTTTATCGTTTATATTTGTTTTATGCCAAGAATTTTTAATATCCATTTATCTAGGCATCTTATCACCAAGTGCAAACACATCTGGAATTCCAAAATATGTCTTCTAATTTCAGAGCAAGACATACCTTGCTGACCAAATGCCTATGAACCCATGTCTAGAAAATGATTGAGTTGGGATATCAAAGTAAAAAATTCTATGGAAAAGAATACTTTTATTTATTTTTTGAAAGATTTATTTTTATTTATTTATTTACTTATGTGTATAAGAACTGGAGTGTAGGCCAGAGGTGGGGGTGGAGGAGGTAAGGACTCACCAGGAACAGAGTGGGAAGCAGAACAGACAGACCTGAAATACACTGCCAAGGGGAGCAGCGGGGGAGACAGGAGAGGTCTGCTGTACCATGTGGGTCAGCTCCCTGGCCAGGGATTGAACTCACACTACAGTGGTTGGTGATAGCTTGATAGTGCTGAGGCAACCCTTTGTGCCACCAGGGAGCCTGGGAAAAGAGTAATTTTAGAATGAACTCTTGACCGCCTCCCCCCACCTTTCAAAGAACAATTTGAAAATATTTTATCTTTATTGACATAAAAGGAAATGAAATAAAAATGCTGCTTGAAAGCAGTCAAGTCATTCAAAAATCATAATCAACCAAAGTAAGCACAGAATAAATGCTTTTAAACTCACATTTTTTTTGTATAAGAAATTTTATTATGACTATAGATATGAGATTTGTAGTTTATAAAAAACTCCAAGAAAAATCTATTCTAAAGCTAAGTTTCTTGAGTCAAAAGTAGGCCACATAACCAATAAGAAATTCTTTAAAAGTTAAACATTATTGGTCCTCCCTGGTGGCGCAGCAGGTTAAAGCACAGCACTGAAAAGCTAAAGTCACTTCCGCATGAGTTGACTCCCTCCTGCTCCGGAGGAGACCACATGGTGTGGCAGACCTCTCCTGACCTGCCCGCTGCTCCCCTCAGCAGTGTACTTCGTCAGTCTGCCTGTTCTGCTCCCCACTCTGTCTCTGGTGAAGCCTCTCGCCACCCCTGAGCCTCTGGCCTATACCCCAGATCTGTATGAACAAATTAATAAATCTTAAAAAAAAAAAAGTTAAACATTATTTTAACATCTAAAAAAGTCTACAAAGGTATTTTCTTCTACAGTAAGTAGACTATAGTAAGTAGCTACATGAGGACAGATCTCAAAAGTGTATATTTAACACTGTGTGTCCAGTGACAAAAGGCCCTGACCAAAAATGTATGCAGAAAATGTGTTAAACTAATAAATAAACATGAATGAATAAGGGGGAAAAAAAAGACTTTTTCCCTAATATGTTTTCTAGGCAAGACAGTTTAAGTGATGAAATACAGGACATGAGATCACAGAAACCTTAGATTCAAATACTCAAGTTAGTCTGTTACTTACAATCCTTGTGATGCTGGGTCACAAGTCACTTCTCTGACCCTTACCTTGCCTCACCCAACTTACAATTTTGCCTCACACTGCTAACAATTTTGCTAAGATTCCATTAAGAACACCTGTGTGAAAGCACTCTATAAACACAGAAAGCACTAATAATTCTCACCTTATTTGTGGTGTGATACTTCCTACTCAGCTGTATGTCTAGTCCGGGCACCTGGACTAGGGACTGGCTCATCTGGGACCACTAGGGGATTTTTAAAAATAAATGGAATAAGAAATATAAGTAATATGAGCACTCACTTAGAAAGTTAAACTGAGCTGAACTACTTAAAGACTATATAATCTTTGCAACCCTGCAATCTGAACACCAAAAGGAGCCACAATTGGTACTTAGAATGATGTCTAATATACAATAGATGCTCAAAACATGTCTGTTGAATATGTGAGTTAATAAAAGGATTTGAACTAATAAAAGAGGGGCCTCCTGATGGCTCAAGGCATTAAATCTTAGCCATTATCAAGCTATTGCCAGCCACTGCAGCAATTCGAAACCCAGCCAGGGAGATAACCCACATGGTGCAGCAGACCTCTCTTGTCTGGCCCCCTGCTCCCCTCAGCAGTGTATTTCAGTAGATCTACTTGTTCTGCTCTGTCTCTGGTGAATCCTCCCCACCCCACACACAACTCTGACCTACACCCCAGCTCTTGTATGCATAAGTAACTAAAATAAATCTTTTTTTTTTAAGGAACTAAGAAAAAAAGGGAACTAAGTAAATCTGAATCTAGGAACTTGAACTGTAGTAAGTGCCACTTTAAATACTGGCAGCAGTGCAGTATATGGCAAAAAAGAGAGAGACTTGTTAACATCACTTGATTTTAAACATAAACTTCCTTTCTGCCACTTAGAAAGCTGAGTAGCCATAGGCTACTGACATACTGTACATTACTAAACCTCAGTTGTAGTAAGGATTAAAGGAGATAATATATGTAAAGTGCCTTTCATAAAATACTCAAAAAACAGTATGCATGTCCAATCATCATCTTTTGAACTATTGTTCAGACCAAACTTCCCTTCCTTTTATGTTCAGATTGCATTTGAACACTTCAGTAATATGTGATAGAGCCATTATTTAGTAGTAATCATGTGACAACCACTATAACTGCCCCACATACAATACTTTATACCACAAGCCCTCTAGGTTGGGTGGGTTTGTAATCAAGATCACAAGCATAGTTTCAAAAATAAATTCCTAAAGAAAAAATTCATAAGACTCATTATAGTATTATCACAGAATAAAAATGGGAAGGTGGGGGAAAGCTTAATGAGAGAAGATAGTTAATTAAGCTATATCAAGTAATTAAATGAGGGGCTTAAGTAATTAAATAATGAGGGGTTTAAAGTTTTTTTTGCTTAACACACTTCATATTTTCACTTCATATTTTTACTTTTATTTAAAAGTAAATATTAATATTTACTTTTCACAGTTTTGGGTTCACAACAAAATAACAAGCACAGAATACAGAGAGCTTCCATATACAGCCATCCCCACACACAACACTTCCTACTAGCCACATCCCCCACCAGGATAGTACATTTGTCAAAACTGATGAACTGACTGACTTAGCACTTTCTATGAAAACATAGGAAGCAACAAAGAAATGAGTTAAGTTAGCAGATTTGTGGATGACTTTAAGTCTCTATAGGTAGTTTCCCAAAACTCTTAATAATGCTATATTACCTTCACAATAAATGGGTAGTAGGAAAGCTATCCTTTCAATTTAGTTCTGAGAAAAAATGTAATTTTTTTAATCCTAATGAAGAAAAAGTTAAGTTATCCAGGTATCCAGAAGGCTTTATAAATCACAGATTAAACACAGATACATGTATCATATGCATCAGTGTAACAATCCATCCAGAACACAGCCAAAAGCAATTTCAAGGAGCTGTGCTTTGGGAAAGAGTATTTGTCTATTAGATTATAGCATCTTTTTTCTTTCTCATAGCTCCAGGAGTAACCAATGGATACTTTATGCGGCTGACTTACCACAAGCTATATTTCTGTCCTACCATAGTACGTGAGTTAAAACTTAATACCACACTGAACTACTGAAATGCCTAGGTATCTGGTACCAAAGAAAACTTAGTTTCCCCATACCTATATATATCTATAAATTATATATTTACCCACTTTTGCGCTTGCTCCCCCAAGATTCCCTTGACTTTAAAGACATCAATTCTTCTTTTGTTCAAATTGAAAAGATATCAGTAAACAACTCTTTGTAAAAGAAAATACTTTGAAACATGTCTTTTTTTTTTTTTTAAGATTTATTTATTTGTGCATACAGAACTGGGGTACAGGCCAGAGGCTCAGGGGCGGTGAGAGGCTTCACCAGAGACAGAGTGGGGAGCAGAACAGGCAGATCGACAAAGTACACTGCTGAGGGGAGCAGCGGGCGGGTCAGGAGAGGTCTGTCACACATGGGGGCACCTCCAGGGAAGGCGGGAATCGAACTCATGCGGAAGCAGCTTTAGCTTCTCAGTGCTGTGCTTTAACCCGTTGCACCACCAGGGAGGGCCAGAAACATGTAATTTTTAAAAAAGAATATTTCTTTTACCATTTTATTTAAAAGTTTCATATTATCCATTACTTTTAAACATAGCAACAGCCTGATAATTTCATGTGCAGTACTCATTCCAAAATATAAGTACAGGGCCCTCCCTGGCAGCACAATGGGTTGAGGCACAGCACCATGAAGCTGTCTGCAGCCACTGCAACACAAATATGATCCCCAGCCAAGAGGTGACCCCCATGGTGTGGCAGACCTCTCCTGTCTTGCCCACTGCTCTCTTCAGCAATGTATTTCAGACAGTCTGACTGTTCTGTTCTCTCCTGTGTCTCTGGTGAAACTTCTTATCCGCCACACCTCTGGTTTGTACCCTAGTTCTTGTATACATAAATAAATAAACCTTTTTTTAAAAGGAGAGAGAATATTGTTTTTTTTAAAGATTTATTTATTTATGCATACAGAACTGGGGTACAGGCCAGAGGTATAGGGGTGGTGAGAGTATTCACCAGAAACAGAGTGGGGAGCAGAATAGGCAGATTAACAAAGTACACTGCTGAGGGGAGCTGCGGATGAGATAGGAGGTCTGCTGCGCCATGTGGGTCACCTCTGGGGCAGGGATCGAACTCACACTGAAGAGCTACAGCTAGCTTGTAGTGCTGCCTTTAACCCACTGCGCCACCAGAAAGGGCCCAATAAAGTATTGTTTTAATAAAACATGTATTTAAATAAAGTATGTTTTAAAAACAAAACTGCTATGATTTTCATTGTTATCCAGGGCCTAAAAGGGGGTCAAAGTTTCTGGAGTTATATTTCCTAATCTGGGCATTGATTATGTTCAGTATGTAATAATTCATTGAGCTATATGCCCTTTTCTGTTATTTTTGTATTATATTTCAGTAAAATATATAAAAATGCTAAAATATGTGGAAAAAATTGGAGATAGAAAAGAATAACCTAGAGTTAGCAAAAAAGACTTCACAAAGAAGTCTTAAGAAGGACGCAGGAGGGACCTCCCTAGTGGCATAAGGGGTTAAGTATCAGCACTATCAAGCTACCTTCAGCCACTGCAGCACCAGTTCAATCCCTAGTCAGGGAAGTGACCCACATGGCACAGCAGACCTCTTCTGTCTTGCCCACCACTCCCCTTAGCAGTATATTTCAGTAGATCAGCCTGTTCTTTTCCCCACTTGTCTCATCTCCACCCCTATACCTTTGGCCTGCACCCCAGCTCTTGTGTGCATAAAATAAATATCTTTTATTTTAGAAAGTAGGCAGAATAGAGAAAGAGAGACAGAAGTAAGGAAGCATGATGAAAAGAGAAAACATTCAGTCAGAAAATTTGGATATTAGCTCTAGCTCTATTTATCTCATAAATTTATTTTGAGAACCAAGTGAAATAATGTATGTGATGAAATGTAAAATGCAAGCCATAATATAAGTGTAAAAACCTATGCCAGACAACTCCAATGATAAACTCTTCTGCAGACATTAAAAAGAATGTTCACCTTTATTTCCAGCTTCCAAAGCAGCATGGATACATATCTGATCATTTTTATAAAACCTTAAGCTCTTTTATTTTCTATCCCAACCCTCCACAACATTCTGGGTATAGAGTCAGCACTCAATAAAAACTAGGCAGATTTTTTTTTCAGTGTTTTGTTTTTTTAAATAGAAGGATAATTTGGAGCTGATCCAGAAAAGAACCACAGGAATGATCAAAGAGATGAATAAAAGGTCCTAGTGGAAAGGTTAAATTGAATTGGGACTGTTTAGCTTGGAAATAAAGGCAACTGAAGAACCAAGGAATAACTTAGAATAACAACACTTGAGCTGGAAGAAATCTTCTAAATCCAACCCTTTCATTTCACAGATGAGGAAACTAAGACCCAGGGAAAGGTTACAACTTGTTAAGGTAGATTTAGGACAAAAAGAAAAAATTGAAGCAGTTTTCTGGCTGCCTGGGACTAGAAGCTGCCTCTCTTTTTCTTTCTCCTTTTCTTAATAAGCCTGTCCTCTTAAAATGTGAAATTTTAAAAATTTCTGAGTTTCACTTAATACAGTAAGGAGATAATTTGCCCAAGTAGTTTGAATATAAATTGTAACAAAAATAGCACATTACAACTTATTAAAGGTTTCCTATATATGCCCAGCACCTATTGCTTGATGGTTTATACCCAAAAAAAATCCAAAATGGGACATTAGTGAAAGAACTGTTAAAACTAGAATAAGGGGTATTATATTAAATGTTAATCATGGTTTCAATAATTGCATTATGATTAAATAAACTGTTAGCATAAGAAGCTATATGAATAAGGGAAGCTATTTTTACAACTTCTCTATTTAAGTACAAAATTTTTTCAAAATTAAAAAATTTTTAAAGCAAGGTCTCCCTGGCAGTACAAGGGGTTAAGTCATTGCACTATGAAGCTATCCATAGCCACTGCAGCATAATATTAACCCCTGCCAGGGAGCTGACCCACATGGCACAGCAGACCTCTCCTGCCTCACCCACTGCTCTCCTCAGCGATGTATTTCAATATATCTGCCTGTTCTGCTTCCCACTCTGTCTCTCATGAACCCTCTGCACCTCTGGCCTGTATCCCAGTTCTTGTATGCATAAATAAATAAATCTTTGTAAAAAATGTTAAAAGCAGATATATCAGGGCCTTCCCTGGTGGCACAGTGGGTTAAAACACAGCATTAAGAAGCTAAAGCCACTTCAGCATGAGTTTGATCCCCATCCCGGGAGGTGACCACATGGCACCGCAGACCTCTCCTGACCCCGCCCTCTGTTCCCCTCAGTAGTGTACTTCATTGATCTGCCTGTTCTGCTTCCCCGCTCTGTCTCTGGTGAATTCTCTCACCATCCCTGCACCTCTCACATCTCTCACCATACCCCGGCTCTGTATACATAAATAAATAAATCCTTTAAAAAAGTCCTAAAAGTTTAATTGATGCATAGATTAAAAAAAGAAAACAGATATATCAAAGTATGACAGAAGTTCAGGAGGTTTTTTTTGGAAACACAGAGATGAGAATACACTGTCGCTAGCTTTTTGAAAATGGTAACAGAATTATAGCATTGAGCATTACCTTAGAGAGCATCTGATATACCACTTATTCAATGAAGGATTCTTATATGGCATGCCATTGTTATACAGTCATCCAACTATGGCCTGGCTATTTCTAGTAAGAGTAAATATATAATTTTACTATGTCAAAATGCAAATCACAGATTCTATTACACCATAAGTCTAATAAACAAAGTTCTTCCTCATTCTGAGTTAAATCAGCCTCCCTGGCAGACATGCACCTAAGGAGGTCATTCTGAAGCTGAGGTTTCCAAAGAGAAAATCTCAAAGATGGAAAAAGATGTCAGTCAATATGACAAAATGTCTAGTTTATTTACATTGGCTATATTTTGTCAGCATGAAATAAACTGCCTTGTTATTTATATGAGTGCTTTGCTAAGTATACTAGGTACTCAAAAAATTTCGGTGATTCACAGAAAGAAACATAAGTCAAAGGTTCAAGTAATGACTTATCCTCCTTCACCATCTGTATACACACAAATAACCAATGATTTGGCCCTCCCTGGTGGCGCAGCGGGTTAAAGCACAGCACTAAGAAGCTTAAGCCACTTCCTCATGAGTTCGATTCCCGCCTGCCCTGGAGG